GAAAGTCCAGGATTACAGCTGAACCTGAGAGGCCTCTGGGTCACACTTATCAACAGCGGATGATGTCTATGAAAGGATTACATCCCTTGGTGAATTCTGAAAAGGGTCCCTTGTCTGTCAAGAGAGCTGAGATAATTGTATTTGCATGCCTAACATGAAACTATGAGAGAAAGACTGAATCAAACTGTCAGCTTAAAAAAACTCCATCACTGTCAACATCATGTTGAAGTTCTGGGTAGGAGTCGTCCAGTAGGCACGGGGGCACCCTGTGCCCCTGCTAGGACAGCTGGCTGTAGAAACCAAAAATAATAAAATAACCAACTTTTCTAGTCTCAAACAAGAACAGGAAACCACCATTATTCAAAAAATTTGTGCTTCCCAATAACCATCCTGTAACAGGCGTTGGGCAGAAGCACGTTTGGAGTCAGTCTGTAATTTCTGTTATATACTACAGACTTTAAACACGATGGCAGCCGGATTCTGGAGAGGAGGAACTCTGCTCTCCTCTGGGGATAACAGCACTTAGCACTACAGTCCCAGTTTTTAGGTGTTAGGAAAGCAAAACTCACATATGGTAAATACAATAAACAATTTAAAACACGTGAGAGCAGCTAAGAAATAAGACCTATGGGAGGAGGAGAAAGGGCATTTCAGGTGAGATCTAACGTACCATTTTTATGGAGCTCTAGTTGGTTGTTGCAGAACATTGAAGAAAAGCCTCTTAGGCTGCTCCTGACCCCTCCCTTTAAAGAAACCTATAAATCCAAACCAACAAACAACAAAACCCCCATCAAAAAAAGATGACAAAAAAAAAACCAAGCCCCCCCCCGCTAAGAGAGAGAGGAAAATCCAGTAAAATTACTTTGCCTCTCATGTTCTAATACAAGCCAATTTAATATAGAAAATACTGTCATCAGAGTGACCAACTTCATTCCCACATAGAGATAATACCAGTCAGTGAGAGCCTTTATCTGTAGCATTCACTGGTACGACCTCTGCATTAAGACAGAGGAGTATGTTTGGAAAAGTAAACATCATGATTTTTCCACAAAAACCATTAGGCAGATTTGTCAGATGTACTGGTATTTATATGTTTCTCATTCAACATACTTTCTCCATCTGCAGAGAAAAATACATCAGCGGTTTCCTTTAAGAGGCATCAAGTACTGGATAAGCTCTATCATATATGCTAAAGACAACTTGTTTCTTCAGTTAGTGTTGGTTTTACCATTTCATGTCAACCAAGATCTCTCATGCTGTACAGATGTCTTCCTATTTTGATGACACCTAAATTTAGAGGGTGCAGAAAACTGCTGTTAGCAATAAGAAGTGGTGACAAGGGACAAGAAGCACACTTTTACTCTTCAACATGAACATATAAACGCTGGATGCTGATACTGTAAATAAAATCAACGGCCCCACTTTATGACCAAATGAAACTCCAAAACAGGAGGTGCTAGACAGATCATAGCCTGATTTCAAATCATTATTTTGTAATGATCCAAGATGAAAAATGCTTTTTTTGGCTAATAACTTGCACTTGCTTCCTTGGAAGCGTACTATTTCTGACTTAATGCAATGAATACTTTTTATTTTTAGCTAAGTGTTGAAAATATTTCAAAGAGCATTGCCAAGTGAGCCTGGAACACCTGGAACAAATATCCTGCTTTGCAGTAATACAGTCTATTTATGGTTGCATCAGAAGGTCACTCATACTTCAACTACTGCAATATGTCACCACTTTATAAATGAGAGTGATATCAGCAAATAAAATAAGTGCCTTATTCTTCCCTGGCATTGGTCTAATCCTAGGTGCAAGGTGTGATGTTAGGCTTAAATTTAAAGGACCTGGGTGACTAAAGCTGGCTATGAACTTAGGAGTACAAGACAAAAGGACAGAAGCATCAAGCCCTGGACCCTTAATTAATAAAACACAAATGCACTGAATTTCACAGGGTTGGGGCATTTTGGTGCTGAATAGTACTAGTAACTCTGGAACTGCTAAACACAAATAGTGTACAACTTCGGTCATTACATTAAAAAAAACCCCACTTTTCAGAATTTCTCTTTTACAGAAGGTCAAAATTAATGAATCCTGTCAAGATATTTTAAACTAAAATCTTCAGATACTTTCAAGGTATGTCATTACGTATTTCCCAATTCATAAGTCAAAACTTGGAAATTAAAATAGTGTGTCTTTATTGATAGTCTGCCACAAATTAATGCATAAACCTAGTTAGCCAAAAATGTATCTGTCATCTGAACATGGCAAGCATATCTGCAAAAAGTGGATGCTTTCTTCTAGTAGATAATCAGATGTTCTGTTACCAGCTCTCACTACAGTGCCGAATGCAATTAAAGAATTGTTTTACACAAGCTGCCTGATGCTCAGCAGAATCACTGTCTCTTCATTATTGGAAGGACACAGACATGTATACTTTAATGTTAAGCCTTCACTGACATTAGTGGGACTCATTTGTCTCTCAGGTAGCTTGCACACCATATTTGCAGGACTGGAGTTTATGACTACAAAAGCAGTGACAAGGGGGACAAGAACAGACGCACTACAATAGGCATTCCAACAATTCAATGCATCCATCTTACTGAAAGAAATCATATCTTTACATACCACTGAATGTTAAAAACAAACAAAGAAGTTTAAGCACAAAGTATATATTTATAACAAATAAAACAACTGAAAAAGTATTACATAAAGAAAAAATAATGTAACAGAATGTACTTAAGTACCTAGCTTACAGTCATGCTCATATCTAAAAATAACATTGGTAAGTAATATATATAATTTTGGACATAATTCTCTAACATACAACATGATTCTGTGATTCTAAATGTAGAGAGTACTTTTTCCAAGATACAGAACACAAATTATTTTACACAGGCACACCTGTTAATTTGTATAAAAAACATGCTTGTAAGTGAAAAGGTCACTGTAGTACTAATTTACCATGTAGTGTTAATCATGTTGAAATCGTCTCTTCTCCTTTTGCATTGGTGAGCGCCAACACTGAATGGTACAATATTTGATCCATGTGGTTTACTGACACTGCAACCTGTTTCCAAGCAGTAGCCCTGCCTGGGTGTTAACAGCGCAGTACTGTACAGCCCCATCTGTCTGCATATAGTGTATTTATAACTAAAAGCTATTACAATTATTACAATGATTTCTGTTTCAATATATACAACAGTATAAAATACTACCCAAAAAACTTTTGTATTTCAAACAATTTTAACCACTTCATCAAACAACGCATTTGCAGAATTAAAAAAAAACAAACCCAAATTAATGTTGATTGCCAACAGTACAGCATCTCTATGGTATGTTTCCTAATAAATGAGAGAACGGAAATGTCTTATAATCAATTAAAATAAGTATCACAAAACATAATTAATGTTAGAGCAGTTCAAGGATTCCCAGTTTGTCAGTATCTACCCTAAGCAGTGCTACCCAAATACAGTATAAGCCATTTAGTGTTTCTACAATGAGAATAAAACATTCAAAAATTAAAGCTGTGACAAACACACAAAAGCAAGGAAAGAAAATTTGTTCTGTACTCATTTCTGTTGGAGCAAGGTACAGCATGTCAGGAGTTTGCACTTGGTGCATCATATCTGGTTCTGTGTACAGACTGGGGAATGAGAGGCGGAGAGCAGTGCTGCAGAAAGGGACTGGGGTGTCCTGGTCCATGGCAAGTTGAAGATGAGTCAGCAGTGCCCTGGCAGCCAGGAGGGCCAACCGTGTCCTGGGGGGCATCAGGCAAAGCATCACCAGCCGGTCGAGGGAGGCAATGGTCCCGCTCTGCTCTGCACTGGGGAGGCCTCACCTTCAATATTGTGTGCAGTTTTGGGCACCACAATATAAAATATATATTAAGGTCTTAGAGAGCAAGGGCCACAAGGATGGTGAAGGGACTGGAGGAGAAGCCTTATGAGGAGTGGCTGAGGTCACTTGGTTTGTTCAGCCCGGAGAAGAGGAGACTGAGGAGAGACCTTATTATGGTCTTCAACATCCTCATGAGGGGAAGTAGAGAGACAGATACTGATCTCCTCACTCTCATGACCAGTGACAGGACCCAAAGGCCTGAAGTTGTGTCAGGGGAGGTTTAGGTTAGATACCAGGAAAAGCTTGTTCATGTACAGGCTTCCCAAGGAAGTGGTCACAGTATCAAGCCTGTCTGAGTTCAAGAAGCATTTGGACAATGCTCTCAGGCATATGGTGTGATTTTTGGGGTGTCCTGTGCGGGTCCAAGAGTTAGACTTGATGATCTTGATGGGTCCCTTCCTACTCAGTATATTCTATGGTTCTGTATGAGCTACGATACCTGGATACAACTGTGGAAGACAACTGAAATGGAATCAACTCTGACTTTCCTTGCTGTTGTGGTTTTATGTCAGACCATTCAAGTTATAACAACTTAGTGTCCTTTTTTTTTCCTCTCCTGAAGGGAGTGAGAGAGAAGAATTCATAATAAAGTTGCAAAAATGCTACTAAAATCCCTATCTTGGACACAATACACTGCTTTAGGAGCTACTGTGTCATTGCACAATATAAGTGGCCTATTTATTGCTGAAGTATTGGTGTAGCAGAATATATTTGTCATTGTGGATGTGTTTTAAAAATTGGTATTTTAAAACTTGCTTGTATCCCATAACAAGCCACAAAATTTTGTGTTTTTCAAACAGTAATATCCTTACGTAAAATAATAAGTGTACATTTATAGTGGCAAATTTCAAATCTCTGCTTCTGCTGCTCCAGTTTTTAAAATGAACTTGGTTCAGAGTTTTCATTCTTTACATCATCCTAAAACAGAACTATTTCTGAAGCATAAAAAAAATCCAAATGGCAATGATAATATCCGAGGGGTTTTTGTGTGTTTTGCTGATTCATTCCTAACTTGAAAAATAATCAACGTCTTAAAAAAAAAAGCAAAACAATAAACCCTCAAAAATCTCTCCTCAGGAATAGTCCCCGCTAAGTGAGATTTTTTTTCAAAACCAAGTTACACGCTTACAGTATCTTTATAGTCACGTTATACACCCTTGAAAATAAAGGCTCATGTTGAGAATGGTGACAGGCCCTTAATTACAGAGGTGTTAACTGGTGACACTTTTTCATCAGAAAAAGCCCAAAAGCCCCACAAAAATTCATAGCTTATATTGAAAGTTTGATTCATGCTCATTTTGTTCATTTAAAAATACTCTTTGGAAACTTGTGTCAACTCCTGCAGACAACTTAGTGATACATCTTTTCCTGTTAAAATAAAGATAATTCATATTCACCTCTACCCCATGCTAAGCTCTACTACTAATATACACTTCATTACCTGCTCATGTCACCATCTAACACATATCTTTACATTCTTCTACATATAGTGCCCAGGGCTTATTTTTCACCAAACAGAATTCAATAACTATTACACTTAGAAGTTTTAATTGAGAATTTTTTAGTGTTCTAGCCTTTTCATTGCAATGCACAGTGACATTAATGGTTCAGACTTTTTATCCATGCTAACTTGAGAATAATTTTTCACCAATTTTTTTCCATTAAGTATTTTAAAATCTAAACTCAGAGATCAAAACTGAAAACCAGAAGAGAGATTAGATGTATGTAATTTTAAAATGGTTTCTGCTACTTTAAAATGCATTTAAAAATTGTACATACAACACAGTATTTTAACTTTTACATTGCTGTTATCAGATTCTAATTTAAAATCTTGCAAATATACATGAAAAATAAGCCACTGGTCATAAATTCTAATGATTACATTCAAAACTAGCCTTTAAAAAAAATAAAAAAGTTACAGGCAAAACATACTGGTTTATGTACTCACTAGCTTATCAGGCTACAATAGGCATGTTTTAAGTATAAAAAAGCAGACAATTGAGATTTAAATAAGACTGTGTGAAATCAGAAAAAAACCTTAGATTTCACTATTAAAAAAAAACCAAGAACACCTATAATTACTTCCCATCCTACAGCTACAGTTAAACCAACTAACAAAAATAATCAAAGTATTGATGACAAACAAAAGTTAGACTAGAGTATGTGGCAACAATCAAAGTTCATACATGTTTCTATGTAAAATGACTCATGATTTACTATAACATATGAAGAAGAGCACTTCGTGACTAATGAAAGAGCTACTAGTAGAAACACTTAATGCCAAACAGTCTTCAGCCCTCCTTTAAGTTGTATCTCCAAATCAGTATTGACTTCTTTTGACCAGATACATCATTTTTGGCTTGTCACCCGAGTATGTCATGTTTTACCACTTGTCACAGGCAGCAGGAGACAACTAGCTAAGCAAACTACAAGCAGTGACATGCAGAAATTAACTCTCAAATCTGAGTACTTAGATAAAATGATATGCAAGCGCACACTAGGACAGAAGGAATGGCATTCGTCATCCAAATAGGCTCATCATCCCTCCCCACCCCCCTCGAACAGTAGTTGCAACAGCAATAGAAAAAAAATCAAGATGTCTGTTCTTCAGAGTCAACTGTGGAAAAAAGTCAGCAATATATAACAGCAGCGATGGACAAGGAAGAGCAAACTGAAAGAATCTTGTTGAATATTTGTTCATTTACAAGCCAAAGTGTGCCACACTGGCTTGTTCTGAACTTCAGATACAGATGTCCTAATCTCCTTAGATCCTTCACAGATTTAGAATTCAGTCTCCCTGAGGCCCCTATAACCAAGTAAGAAAACTCTCTTTATCTAGCTTGGTGGCTGCCAAGACAGATTCCATGTCATTAAGGATGTCAGAGCTCAAAGCCTCTTGCAGACTTGGCATCAGTTCTTCTCCTTCTATATTCATCCCATCTCCTTCCAGTGTCCCAAGGTCCACATTTGTCCCTGGAATGGCTTCAAGGTAGTCTGGGAAACGGTTCTGATGGGATGGTATGTTACTTTGGCCGATACTGTCACCTAGTTATAACACAAAGTAAGATGGATATTAAATATACTGGAAGTACCAAACCTATAATTTAACAGGACAACTGGTTAAAGGTTAATCATGTATCTCTTGCATTATACAAACAATGTGATTCACAGAAATCCATCACAAAACCCAAAGGTAACTTGAATGCACGCAGATGTACAAAGAACACGTCTTTGTTTCAAATTTTCATCTACACAACCCAAATCTCTACAGATCTTTGATGTCATTTAGCATAATTTGATTTTTACACTTAAAGGAAAAAGACAATACTGAATCAAATACAGTTTCGGAGTAGTATTAACAACACTGGACGAGATACTATTCTTAGCTCTGAACAAAAAATATACTTTAAAAAGCAAATCCTTATAACACACTCAAATTCCTTATAACAACAAGAGTGATACTGTTTATGAGCAATCTCCCATCCTTCCAATACAGTTGATTACCAATATGTTTTTTACAAATCTAACCACAAAATTTCTATTACAGAAAAAGGGGAAATAGAAAAACTTAGAAAAAGGCAGAAAAACAATGCAAAAAGTATCACAGCTTCTCAGAGTTAATTGTTTTCATTGCAAATGGATACAAGTATATTAGGAAAACATGCATTAAAAATGAACACAAAACCAGACCTGTATCCATCTCATCAACACTGTTCAGGAAGTCATCTGGGGTTCTGGGTACACTGTAACTGCTCATGCTAAGTCCACTATCTGTGCTTTCATCTCTGGAGTGATATGTTCCACTGCAACAGAAGAAAGAGAAAAGAAATGAGGGTTTTTGAAGAAAAACAGAGGGTTATAGAAGAAAATAAAATAGATGCTTGTTTTCAACCAATTCAAGGGCTTTGGAAACATTGCTGTCCTGAGAAATGCTCTACTGTGATAAAAAAACTGAAGCCTTTGTCTGGGTGAGACACCTGGTTTGTACTTTATGCAGACCTTTTCCAATTAAAACCATATTATTTCGATTCTACCTAGGCAGCCTCATCTCCTTGGATGGTAAGATTGACGGGGAGATAGATAACAGGTTAGCAAAGGCATATAGTGCTTTTGGAAGGCTTCATAAAAGAGTCTGGCGAAATAAACACTTGAAGAAAAGTACCAAGATCAGTGTTTACAGAGCCATAGTGCTGTCTACTCTTTTATATGGCTCTGAATCATGGGTCATCTACCGCCACCACCTGCGACTCCTAGAACGCTTCCATCAACGCTGTCTCCGCACAATCCTAAACATCCACTGGTCAGACTATGTGACCAATACATCTGTTCTCGAACAGGCAGCAATCACAAGTACTGAGGCCATGTTGCTGAGAACACAGCTGCGTTGGGCCGGGCACGTCTCTAGGGTGAAGGACCACCGGCTCCCCAAGATCCTGCTTTACGGTGAACTTGCCACTGGCTGCCGCAAGAGAGGAGCCCCAAAGAAAAGATACAAGGACTCCCTGAAGCAACAACTCAGCCTTGGCCATATTGATCACCATAACTGGTCTACTCTGGCCTCCAATCGGGAGGCCTAGAGACAAACCATTTATAACGCTGCTGATGCTTTTGAGAAAGCGTGCAGGATCACCCTTGAGGAGAAAAGACAACGCAGAAAGAATCGAGCCTTACAGAATATACCACCTAAGGAGTCTTTCTGCTGTGTCTTTTGCAACCGGACATGCCTTTCTCGTACTGGCCTTTTTAGCCACCAACGCGCTTGCAAGAAACGTGGGTAGAGCCCTTCCCAAATCTTCATTCGCGAAGCCTAGCCATGATTTTGATTCAATTTAACTTGATGAGAGCATATTCAAGCAGCTTTAAGAAACTGCCTACTTGTGTTCTGCATAATTTTAATCTTTTCACACCCACCCACCCACAGCTAAAACTATTGGAAGCATATGAGATAGTCTGTAATGATTATAAAAATAATAATGATGGTTCATCCTTTCATGCTTCCATAAGGATAACAAAAAAATATTTCTAACTACTAATGTCCTCATGTTTAATCAACCACTGAAGTATATTTTTAGGTCACTGCTGTTATAAATAGTTGGAACTCCTTTAGCAATTCTTCAATTGCTTCCCACTGCTGCATTACTACTTGTTCAGTCACATATGTCAAGGCAATAGAGTGCCCTAATATAAATCAAATACTCGTACAGAAGCCATCCTCTAAACAAACCCCGCTCAGAATGATCCTGTTGACAGAATGGTTAACCAAACTAACGGCATGGGGCCTTAAATGCACTCACTTTCTTACTGCCATCTTACTGCCGGCACAGCGAGCAAGATCAAGAAAGCCACAGTGGGAAATTTGGGATGGGGCAGGGAAGCTGGCCAGTGTATTGAGTTTACATAGCAAGGTTTTGGTAGCAAGGGGTCTGCAGGGATGTACCCTGTGAGAAGGCACCAGGAGCTGATCCGACGTCTGACTCAGCTGGTTCCAGCTGGCTCCAAAGTGGTCCAACTGCCCAAAGCTGAGCCCATCAGTGACAGTGGTGGTACCTTTGTGATAACATACTTTTTAAAAAAAGAGTAAAAATGCTGAACAGATGGGAGAGAGGAGTGAGAATATGTGAGAGAAACAGCCCTGCAGGCACCAAGGCCAGTGCAGAAGGAGGGGGAGCAGGTGCTCCAGATGCCAGAGCAGAGATTTCCCCTGCAGCCCAAGGTGCAGACCATGGTAAAGCAGCTGTGCTCCTGCAGCCCGTGGAGGTAACATGATGGAGCAGAGATCCACCTGCAGCCCCTGGAGGACCCTGTGTTGGAGCAGGGGGGCATGCCTTGAAGGAAGCTGTAGTCCACGGAGAGGCCAAGTTAGAGCAAGCTCCTGGCAAGAGCTCCAGCCTGTGGAGAGGAGCCCATGCCGGAGGAGGTCTGATGGCAGGAGCAGTGGCCTCCATAAGCAGTTGCAGGAGCACACTACTATCTCCCTTCCCCTGCATCTCTTAATATCCAGTCTTCAAGTATATAGGATATGCCTTTTTATTAAGAATGAAGAACTAAAATGGTGATGAACAGCTATTCAACATTCGATGCCAGTAGAATGCCATAAGACATATATATGTATTAGATTTCATGAGGATATCTTTACCATACAAGAAAGGAACCTAACATCTCTTTACAGTTAAATCATAAATATTTCTCTTTTTTTAGATTGATTTAAGAATAGAATCACCACACATTTGACACAATCCTAATAAATAAACTATTTAAAACTTTTGTGAAAAAAGATGCTGGTTTACTTTATGGGACAAAATACTAAAAACAGAACTGAGGCTATGCTGAACTAAATCACTTCAGTGGAGAAGGCTTTTTGGCTGCTGCTCTCACACTTGGAATGTCCAGCACTTCTCTTCAAATCACTCCTTAATACACATTTCCTCTTTCTTCCACAAGGATTTCTTCATTTAGCAGTCATACCACCCAAAATTACCACATTGAACTAAACAGCATTACCCAAAATAGAGTGGATTCTTCTTCAACTAATAACTATTAAAATATGTGTATACAAAAGAAGAAATACCAATTTAGGAGTTAAACAGAGAATTACCATCACTACCAATATAAATCTAGCAGACAAAAATATATGAACAGCGTGGTAAATCAAAAGGTGAAAGAGTCTAATAAAATCTGCACTGTTGAATGACCCATTCAAAAAAATCAAATATGCCACAGTGACAGGAAGTACTGAAGATAGCAGGCAGAAGATTAGACTATGTAAATGAAAACACTACTGCACGTTTTCTCAAATTGCTCCAGCGTACTGATTATTTTCTGAGATTTTTTTTTTTTAATGTTTCTATTATACAAGCAGTGGACTACCTAAACTTTGGATATCCAAATTCAGGACCTAAAATTAGGACTGTTTCACCAGGAACTTTATATACAGCCTATAAAGACAGAACGAAGTATTTCCCTAAGTCTGAACTTTAATATAAGGAATACCAACAAGAACTTAGAGCAAAACTATTGGACTGCTGTATCTAATTCAGGACAGCAAAGCATTTTCACAAATGTCCTTTCTTAAAAATCCCTTTCCCATACCCATATGATAGAATTAAATGAGGTGACACACATAAAATAACCTAGAAGGAGACAATGCTCAGATCAAAATGCAAATTAAAATATTCTGAACTCAAGTCAAGTACACATTTTTAATATTTTGTGTGGAGTAAGGGCTACAAAAAAAAGCCCACAAACCCAGTCAAACCTATATGCAACTAGGCAAGCAGTATCTTTTTGCACTTTACAGTAAATATCAACCTGCCATGAAATTACAAAACATGAATTTACCCTTTCTAGCTTTTGTCCTGTTTGTAGCTAATGGCAAAGATCCATCACTTTGTATTTCATGTGTGTAGACTCACAATGGATAAACTGCATCTGCCCATTGCTGTGGCCATTTGAAACCTGAAGATGCATTTCTTTCAGAAAACAGGTTTCGAAGATGTGAAGACCTGTATGTATGATGGCAACAGCCTTCCAGAAATTCAAGCTAGTATGTTACTATAACACATCAAGACCATCATCTACCTACTGAGCCTTCTCATAGGAGAGCAGGTCAGGTTTAACGTTTCTTGTCCTTTCTATTCCTTAGGACAAGACCAGCACAGCTGCAGCTCACAAAAGATCCCAGGATGAATTCTATGGAGGATAATCCCTCCCTCTAACAAAAAATTAAGTTTTCTAGTCATATTTATCTGTGTAGGAGATAAATTTTCCTGAAGGGATTACCCAAAATACAGACATCACTTATTCTCAAGCTCCAGCAGTTTTTTCAAAGTTTTAATGTTTAGTATGAAGCATTTGCAAGCTGTAATTTGAACAGTATTTCCAGCAAAACAAACACTCCAACTCAGAGGAATTAAGGAAAAAGTTATATTAAAAACTAGTGTATACCATAAAATTCTAAATCTTGAATTAAAATACCCACTTCAAAATAATACAGCGTTTAAAATAAAACATGACGCTATTTGCAAACCTAACATTAAGAGAGTAAAAATACTGCTAAATATTTGAAATGGAGGGAAGGGGTGAATGGAGAAACTTTAAAAATTAGCCTCAAGGTGTAGTCCTAAATGTGCCTCACAGTTCATTTGATCTCACAGCGAGCTATTCACAAATTCTTTGAGTCAGTAATTTGAAATGACTGTTAGTCAACAGATTATGCAGAGGCAAACATGTTATGACTTTGAATAAAAACCTTCCTACAAGTCTGAACAGACTACTTCCTCCCACAGGAGACAGCTTTTAATCCTCAACTTTTACTAGACTTGCCATTTAAGGAAAGATTCATTTACAGCTGTGGCTCTTGGCACAGACAGATGTTCAAAATAAACTATTACATGTACCAAATAGAATTTTAAATCAAATTTTTTTCCTCTAGTAGCTACTCCTACAAACCTGTTAAGAAAGGGATCAGAACTATTTGTAGTCATTGTTCTCAGTTCCTGAGACATTCCAGGAGATGACACGGGGTTTTGCGATCCACCGTCTTGTTCCATTGTTGGAAGCTGGCTACGGAGAGCCAATTCCTAGAACAGCAGGAGGGGGGGAAAAGAGAGATCATGTTAGGCATTTGAATGCACTTTTCACATACACAGATACATGACATTATAGATAATTGATGCTTTTACTGTTTCCAGTTACAAGAGTTAAATGAAATTAAGTTTCTGAGGACAAAGCAAGAATCTGTCCTGGCTTCAATGACAATGCAAGTTCCACCACTCATGCCCAGCATTACAGACGCTGCACTGAAAATGTATTTATGGATACAAATATCTGTATATTTACATAAATATTTTCTAATTCATTTCAATATCTTTTCACTAAGTATATTCTTAAGACCAAAAAAAGAATTGCTAATACTATCTGACCCCAAATATATGTCTGTCTACCTCTACTGATTAGCACTTTTTCCCCATTTCTCTTAAATTCCGATTCACTCACTGGTTTCCTTTGTACCTTTCTTGTTTCAGTCAGCAAACTTTCAAGTCTTCCCCATTCAGTCTTCCTGTTTGAGGCATGTATTTTGAAATTTCTGACTGATCAAATCTATTTGATTTGTCCCAGAAATAAATCCCAAAGCTCTTTAAATCCCTAGTAATTTCTTCATAAAACTTAAGACACTGCTATTCTGAAGTTACAAACCTACATTACGTATACATTTTTACACATCTGACTGTTCACCAGCTTGAATCAAACCATCCATAAAGCTTGTCATTAGTAATTAATGAAAATAAGTTTTAATATAAAATACATGTAATTAAAGGTGGATTGAGATAAGTGGCACTTTATGCAATTTCCAGTGACCCCTCTCCCCCTTTTTAAACAAGTAATCAATGAGTTAAACATGTGAAAGAAAAAATAATTTTCTTCAAGCAACTCTCCTAAAACATCATCAATGGCTCACCATGACTGAGCTTTGTTAATGTAAAGACTGGTAAATAAATCTTTTGACTATCTTGTTACCATTATTAGTAGTATGTCATTTCCAGGTTGTGCCTGGAAAGATAACCTCAGGCAAACCCAATCTTGTCAGTCTTGACAATACTCAATATTTCTCACTTGTAAAGTGAGAGATCTTCATCCATTCTCAATGGCAAGCCTAAGGACTACTGTACTGTACACTTTATAATATAAAAAATAACCTTTCTCCAATTCTTCTTCAAAGTGATTTCTTTTAAAAAAAGTTTAAGGTTATTTTATTTTCCAGCAGACTGTGCTGAATATCGAATGCTTCCCTCCTGCCTGTTTTTTTAACTTTTCTCATCTGCATATGCTTCACTCCCATTCCTGTGGATTGTTATTACGTATCCCTTTAATACCAAGTTTTATGTCTTGTACTAGAAGGTTTTCTTGCTACACTTGATTAGGTCTTTGCAGAAAGTGTACAAACATACCACTGGTTTTTGTGTTCATCACACCCAACTGCCTACTTCAAGTAAATCCAGTCCCCTGCTTACCACCACTTACTTTGCCACTGTTCTAACAAATAGTAATAATACTCCTTCCTCATTTTCAGATCACACGATGCTAGGCACCTTTTAATAATTTATAAAGGTTTATCCATATAATTTTCATTTGCTTATGCAATAAACCCAAGTTGAAAGCCTATATAGTGAGGTCTTACTTTACAGCTAAGTATACAAACTTGTATCAGTCACAAATTACCTGATATACAGGTAGACTAAATCCATTTAGAAAAAAACCAAAAATTCCTGGAATGCTTCCCAAACAGTGATCTGAAGAAGGCAGAAGGTCTTAAAACAGCCATCCCAGAGATGGCTCAAGAACTGCTCACTCACATGCTCTGTCCTTTTCCCCTTCCCTCTTGGTTTGATCTGTACATTGCATCTTTATTTCCTTGAGCTGCAGTCCCTGACTAGGATGAAGAGGAGGAGTCAAAAGTGCAGAAGAAGCTTAATCATACACCAGTGCCACAAAGAGTAGTAAAAAAGCAAAAACTACATGGACTCATTTCTGTATATGAAGCATGAAAGTGACATTGTATCTCATTGTGTGGTAGGCCTGGTCTTTCCAATCAGCACTGCCTCCTGATTTAATAGTTGAGAGAGTGAGAAGAAGAGAGAGAAGAGAAGAGAAGAAGAGAAGAGAAGAGAAGAGAAGAGAAGAGAAGAGAAGAGAAGAGAAGAGAAG